CTTTCAGTTCTTCAAATTTGTTGATTCTTTCCTCTGACCCCTCCATCCTGTTGCTGAATCCATCCACCGATTTTTTTTTCCAGTTATTTACTTTGCAGATCTAAAATTCCCATTTGGTACTTCTTGATATCTGTTTTTGGTTGGTTGGTTGGTTGGTTGGTTGGTTGGTTGGTTTGTTGAGACTTTACGCCTTTTCATTTGTATAAAGCGTGTTTGTAACTGCTTGTTGAAGCAGTTCTATAATGGTTACTTTAAAACCCTGTCGGATCACTCTAAAACCCGGGCTCCTATGTGGTGGCACCTGTGGGCTGTTTCTTCTTATGCAGGTTGACATTTTCCTGATGTTTCGAATTTGATGCATTGGATTTTGACGGCATCCTGGATAGCTTAGGTATTATGCTCTAAGATTCTAAATCATGCTCAATTCTTTCACTTCAGCACGCCTCCCCTGATACTCTGCCAGTGTGGGGACGGAAGTGCCCCCTCACTACTGCCAGGTGAGGGTGAAGATCCAGGTTCCCCACCGGCCTTTCTTCACGCCTGTGGAGGGGCCTCATTCCTGCAGATGAATTGAGATTCCAGCCTCCCTTCCAGGCCTCACTGACACCTCCTAGGGAGGAGAGGGAGGGGCACGGCGCTGCTCCTCTCTGACAGCACCGCAGGGCGGGGAAGCCCTGTCGCTGCTGGATGGTGGTCACTTCAGGATCCCTGTGACTTGCACTGACAACTCGGTGGTGGGGGAGGGAGGGGGGAGTTGTTGCCTTCTCTGATGCCACCCTGGCAGTGGGTGGTCGGGTCCCTTATTACAGCCAGGCCTTGGCTGACAGGGTTGGGGCCGGGCTGGGGCTTTTCCATGGTATTTGGAGGGGGCAGCACGACCAGCTTCTAAAGGTTTCTGCCTTGCGAGGCTGCCCCTTCCCTGGTCCTCTGGCTGTAGAGGGCAGACTTTTCTTGGCACTTTAGTCTCAGCCTATTGGTATTTCTGGGTTGCCAGTTTCTCCAGCATCCATTATGGGATAGATGAGTGGGGGGGAACAAAACCAAAACACCCAGGAAACTCACCGCCATGCCTCAGGTCCTAAGGTCCCTGGCCAGTCTCTCCACCTTTCAGAGCCTTTAAATGTTTGTGTTTTTTTAACACATAACATCCAGAGTTTTTAGCTGTACTTAGTGAGAGGGACGGAGAGGTATGACTACTTCAGCTTGGCCTGGAGCCAGAAGTCAATGGGCATATTTTTAAAGTGGCAAAAGGAATAAAGGCTCCTAACTTTCCACCCCTGACACTGACTAGGGCCCTGACATTCACAAAGACTGCCATGTGTGCTGCTTCTTTCCAGCCTCGAAGCAACCTCGCCGACAGGGCATTCTTAGCATCCCCCTTCTCAGAGGGAACAAGTGACTCAGCAGTGACAGGTCTGATGCAGGGTCACACAGTGAGCTTGTCACAGGGCTGCGGCCAGAATTAGGTTATTCCGCCTGATGCCAAAAGCTCTGAGCCGGACTTGGTAGGAGCATGAGTACGCGGAGGTGACTGATTGACCGATGAGCCTTGATTTTACTTTTTAAATACTCCCCGTGGCCTTCTTCTCTCCCACTCCGGTCTCCTCGTCTTGCAGGTGCAGGATCCCTTCTCTGCCTGAGCAGCAGGCCTGGGCGAGCTACGGAACCCAGAGCACCCTCAGCGAAGCTTGTTTCCTAGAGCCAAGGGGAGAGCCCAGCAGGGCACGGGGACTGCGCCCCCCACGAGACAACCCCTTTTCCCGCAGCGGCCTCCCCGCAGCCACAGCCGCAGCCGGAGCACAGGGGCACGCGAAGTCTCACACATCGTCTTCCAGGCTGAGGCGGCCGCCCTGCAAGCTTTCCTTTCCCTGCCCCCTCTTCTTAGTGCAAATCCAAAGGCTCTGGATTGCTCACCAATGGTGAAATCAAGGTTAAAAAGCAATGGCTCCCAAGGTGACTGATAGCTTTTCAAAACCCACCCTGGTTGCCGTATTGCAGAGATGCTTTACTGCCCAGTGCCAGCTACGGGGACCTGTGCCACTGACGCAGCCAGTCCGAGCGGCGTGCACCCTGTTCATGCACCGTGTTCCTCTGACACTCCACATTTTCCCAGGATCTCAAGCTTTTAGGTAGAACAAAAGATTGGCTTGAAAACCAGAATTCTACAGATTTACAGGAGCACGTGATAGGACCCCAGAAAAGTCTAGACTCCAAAGTTTTCTCACTAAATCTTTAAGTAAAATTGCCCTTCCCGGGTAATACACCACGCGTAGCCTGGGCTGCAGGCCTCCCCTGAGAGACCGCTCCATTCTCCCGAGATCAGTGAGCTCCAGCTTAGGAAGCGTCACTCCAGGAAAAATATCAACTGAAACTGCGGACTCTTTAATACGATGCATTACCATCCACCATGCGCCATCCACCACGCACCATCCACCATCCACATTTGTGGACCTACTCAAGTTTGTCTTTACAAAAATTAGTCCAAAACCAATGAGCAAAATTCATGATAAACAGCATTTTTTTTATGTTACTAAAAAACACAGGATAGATTTCAGAAAAACCGAAGTTCAGAAGAGGGAGCATGATGAAGTATTTCTTAGTGGAAATGTATTAAATAATAACCACAAAGATTCTTTAGTTAATTTCCAAAGATACGAAGTTAAAGCTTTACACCTTCTCGCCACAAGCATGCAGCTCGGCAGTCATATCACTGACTTGAATTAAATAGGAAAACATGAGTCTTAATTAATGGGATTCCTGAGTTACAGCACCAGCAACAACAACAGAGAGCGCAAGCCAATGAACAGTGAGAAAGGGAGAAAAATAGGCTGTGATAAATAGAAAAAAATTAACTAAGACAGGATAAATACCTCCCAACACCATTACAGTAATCATAATAGATACAAAGAGGTGAAAATAACCAATTAAAGATCAGCGACTCTGAGTTTAGCTAAAAAGGCAAAAGCCAGCTCTATTCTATACCTAGAAGCAAAATGCCCCCAGGGCCGCTGAATTAAGAAACCAAGAAAGATAAACCAGATGAAGGCTAACAAAACACAAACATTAGCAAAAACAGTTTTGGGGGGAAATGGGATACAAGGAGAAAGCATAAAAAAAGACAGAGGACTGTTCCCCGTCGATGAAAGATATGATCCACTGAGACACCTGGGCAGCCTGGGGAAAGATGCTCTGGCCTGTCACTCTTTAAATCTTGTCACCCTTGGGTTGGGTGTCTTTGTAAGTCAGTGAACAAAGCAAACCGCCAGCCTTTATGAAGCTTTTGCTCTCGTGGAAGGCAGGGAGGCAGAGAGCTGGTAAGGAATCAAACTATACAGTACGTCCGATGGTGACAAGCTCTGAGGAAAAGAAAACAGTGAGGGTGACAGGGAGCGCAGTTTGAAATGGGGTGATAAAGGAAGGTCTTACTGAGAAGGCGATATGTGAGCAAAAGGCTACAAGGAGCTGAGGAGACAGCTCTGCAGATTTCTGAAGGAGGGGAACTCCACACGGAGGGCACAGCGAGAGCCGGGGTGGGGTGGCGTGGGCTCGGGGTGGGAGAGGTGGTCGGCCACGGGAGGAAAACCACACGTCCGTGAAACAGAAGCGAGGGCTCCCTCCCGGCATGACTTTCGGAAGCTTCAAAATAAGACACATGAGATCAACCACCTGAAAAACGACACAACCTTAAGGATTACTTTAAAAGGGGGACTTTTAGAAATGTATGACATCCAGTCTAGGAGACCTGAATGTAACCGAAACACACGTTATTGGGTTCCAGCTATAAGTAAAATAGCTCACGCCTCCTCAGCTGCATTTTACCCACTGCAAGGAAAGACGAATTAAAAGAGAGGGGTTTAATCAACAGGCGTGGGGGTCTCGTGTGCAGCAGGGTGATAACTGATAATGCTGTATCACAGGCTTGAATGTTGTCAAGAGAGCCGGTCTGACCTGTTCTCGCCACGGAATGAGATGGAGGTGGAAGCTGACGCTACGGTGGTAATCATTTTGCAGTTTATAAACGTTTAAATCAACAAGGTTGTGCACCTTCAGCTTATACAATGTTATGTGTCAGTTATATCTCAATAATAAAGCTGGGGGAGGCGAAGAAGGGCTTGATTCAAATAGGATTCATAAGACAGAAGCTTGAGAGACAAAACGAGGCAATGTGGTTCCAACAATGTTCCCAGACAGCGTCTACTGATCAGTGGACTTGCAAACAGGTTTATTTAGCAGGTAGAGTTTTCACTTTAATCACAAAGACTGATATATCTGGGGATCATTCGGTCGTTGAAATCGCCCAAAATGATTTCAGGGTCGGGAAAGCAACCTCATTAAGTAAAAGTTTCCCATAGAGGTTCCTGGCAGGAGGAGAGTGCCCTTATCAAAGGATGTGAGTGTCTAGTCCCATGGAGACTCTGCTCACATACATGAATAAAACAGCATTCTGATTTATTCTGCATTCTCAGGGGACTGTGGTTTTCAGAGTCATCAGACTGAAACTACCTGGATATACAGAAACAAAGGGGTCCTAGAAGCTAAGGGCCAGGCTTTGAAATATAGTTTTTACGCCGAGGTGGAGCTGGGTCAACCATTATTAGGCCCCCCAGCTGTCACCCATACCTGGTCCTACATCCATCTAACCACTGACATACTGAGCTGAGGAAAGAGCACTGGGCTTAACAGAAAACCACCTGGGACTCAGCCACCGCTCGCCATCGACCCTGAACAGTGTCACTTAATCTCACTGATCCTCAGAGATTTATGTATCTTTCAAAATGGGAGTAACAAGAGCTGTTCTACCTCGGGGGCTTGTTCTGAGGCTCAGGATCTAAATCTACAACAAGCAGCCGTCTGAACAAAGGCATTAATGCTGTCGTCACGACACACCCGGCAGGCCGAGTACCTAACCAACACACTGGAGCGCGTTACCGTGACTGTCCGAGAACTGAAGACAAGATCAAAAACCACTAGCCCACTAAACAGAATATAGGAGATCCTACCTCTCAGCGACTGGTTTGGCAATGTTTTCAAAAACGGTCTCTTGGTTTGCATCTTGATCGAAAATCCTTTGAAATCTGCAAATGTGAAAACAGTAATTAGTTTAAAGCTGAGCCTTCAAATACTATTGGATTAACTTTCTCCCTGACAGCCTTGTAAACGACCCCATATTTACAGCACTGGGCTTACCTAACCTAGCACAATGTTTGCCCTGTAGTCCCAACCACACTGCGCCGTTGTCCCCTGCACACGAGTGGCGGGTAAACAGTATTGCTTTGACAAGATCTGCACAATAAATCCCTCTGAAAAACTGCAGCGGCTTTGAACCAAACAATAAACTGTGTGTTTTTTAGCTCTCAAGAGGGACAGTGCCCACAATCGGCATCAAATTCAAATCGAGATAAAGAGCATGAAATGGAAACCCAAGAACAGGATGTAAACAGCCGGAGAACTTCTGATGTCTGACCGGTAAGAAAAGAACGCAGCTGTGAAATGGATGATTACTGAGCTCGGTTTCAAAATTCTGAAGTTTCTTTTCCATTAATTAGGTACTGCATCCTAGTATTAGCTGCTTCATTTCCAGGGACGTTTATTTCACTTTGTTGATCATGAATCAAAAGTCGAAAAGTGACTTCAGATAGATCTGTCCTGCACGGAGCAGCCGTATCAGATTGGCGAGGCTGGGGCGTGGGGAGGTGGGACAGTGTCAAGTTCACGCTCATGCAGTGGCGCTCTGGCCGGGCTTCGCGCAGGGTCACATGCACGGTGGAATGCCCAGGGTAGAAAACACACAGCCCACTCTTTCACAGTGTGGTAAGCTGCCACAGCAAGTCTGTGTCCCATTAAAACATTGGGGGGGGGTTGGAAGAGAGGGTGGGAATGAATGGAGTGTATAAGGTAAAAGGTTAATAACTGGTGGGTCTCCCACAGAGTATAGGAGAGTTGACTGCACTATTTTCCACATCTTCAGCATATTGAAAAGTTTTCAAAATAAAAATTGCACGGGGGTGGGGGTGGGATGCTTTTAAGCAAAACCTTTCCAACAAACAGGCTGAGGGCATCCTGAGCAGCTTTCAGATGACTTGGGACCCTCTGGTCTATGTGTCTGCCTGACACAAGTGAACTGGGCACATCTTCGATTCATGTGGAGACCACATGGAATGCAGGACTGTTTACACTCCTGGGGAGGTTCAGAAGGATATCTGGAGCTGGGTTGGAAATAGGGAGTAAAATGAGATTCATTGTCTTTAATCAAAATTAACTTCAGAGAGATTGCGAGGCGCTCCGGCTAGGACGTTGCTCAGCAGGCAAGGTTACGTTTTCGACAATGACATTGCCCGGGGGAGCCCAGACCAGGCCTCAAACCCTACAGGCGCATCAGAGCTCCAGATACAGACATGGGGACATGGCCACACAGAGCCCTGCCGGCTGTGACAGCTGAACACAGACCAGCGGTGCTTCTGAGGACAAAGATAAGGCTGACTGGATTCTTCACCAGGTCGATGATGACTCGGTGGGTCAGCAGCCATTCCCAGCCCCACTTCCATAAGCGACAGGAGTTACATCCGTCACCATGTAAACCAAAGGGATGGCAGGAGGTTCAGTAAACATTAAACATCAAACCGTCATCCCCAAATATTTTATTTTTACGATACAAGTTGCATAGTAATCCGAGAAGGCATTATGGTCATCTATTTTTCTGAATACCTTTGAGGAGCAAAATAGCATCATAGAGTTTTAACAAGCTGAGTCTAATCTTTTACAGCAGGAGAAGCTGCTTTATCCCAGAGAGATAAAGCAATTGACTTACAGCCCTGGAGCAAATCAATGATGCACCTTGAGACCTGACTTAGGTTTCCGGATTCCTAGGAGGCCCTTCATTTATTGGGAGGTTGTGTCGGCTTTTTCTAAACTGCATTTCGAATCTGGCACATGCTGACCTCTTCCCACCTCAAAGCTGCTCACCCTGGCCCGCCTCACCCCAGTAAACGACAACTCCATCCTTTCCAAAGCTCAGTCCAAAGCCCTTAGGGCATCCTTGACTCCTCTCTTTCCATTACACTCTATATCCAACCCATCAGCAAACTCTGCCACCTCTGACCTTTATAACACAGCAGAATCCAACTATTTCTCCACATTTCCACTTGCGGCTCCCCCGGCCCACGCTGCCAAAATATCTCGCCTGGTCTCCTTTACTCCCTTGCAGTCTATTTTGCTACATGTTAGCAAGAGTGATCCTGCTCAGATATAAGTGAGATTACTTCATTCTTCTGGTCAAAACCCTCCGCTGCCTTCCGTGGCACTTCGGAGGAAAGCTCCGTATGGTCTGGCCTCTCTGCCGCCCCTTTCACACACACCCCACCCCGGCTTACTCTCCTCCAGCCACACAGGTCCCTCCTCTTCCGACAAGCCGGGCATTTTCCCATCGCAGGGACTTTGCTCTCACTATGTTCTCGGCGGGGAATTCCCATCCCTTGGGTATTTAAATGCCCTGTTCAAATGTCACCTCTTGTACCCCTTCCCTGACTGCCCTGTGACATTCTGCCACCTTCCCTCCCTTTTGATGCCCTTAGCCCGGCACTCCCCAGTCCCTGTCCCTGCCTCATTTTGCTCCAGGGCACTTAACACTTTCTGACACACATATTACTTATTGATCTTCTTGTCCATCTCCTCCCACTAAAACGTAAGCACCATAAGGGCAGGGGCTTTGTCGCACTCCCTGCACATCATCTGAAACTGGGAAACAAAGACAGTGAAGCAGCCAGAATTTCAAAATTCAGGGCCTGGCTACGGGAAGAGTGTTTGGACTCAGGGCACTGATGACAGTCCAGGGACAGCTGTCTGGTGCTTTCCCCCTGAACCACACAGCTTAGGGCTGTCCAAGAGAAATGTAATGCGATCCATAAATGAGAGTATATATGTCATTTAAAATTCCCTAGTAGCTTCATTTTATTTAAGAGTAAAAAGAAACAGTGCTGGCTGGGTGGTTCGGTTGGTTAGAGTGTTGTCCCATACACCCGAAAGTCTGCAGGTGGGGTTCCTGGTCAGGACACATACCTAGGTTGCGCGTTTGATCCCTGGTCAGAGCACATATGGGAGGCAACCAATTGATGTTTCTCATATCAATGTTTTTCTCTCCCTCGCTCTCTCTCCTTTCCTCTCTCTAAAAAAACACACCACAATACTCAGGTGAGGATTTTTTTAAAAAGTAAAAAATAAACAGGTTAAATTATATCTTAACACAATACATTAAAAACGTTATCATTTTAATAAGGAACCAATATGAAAATATTCTTGAGATAGTTTATATTATTTTTTTTCTCATACTAAGCTTTCAAACACTCTTGATATATTTACACTTCTGGCACACCTCAGTTTGGACTAGCCACATTTCAAGTGCTTAAGACCTACATGTGGCCAGTGGCTGCTACATTGGACAGTACGGATATAGAGTGTTCATATGTGTTGAGGTCTGTATATCATTTATGTTATGAAGAAGGCTCGCCTATACAGGGTACAGATTGTGCCTTAAGCTCTTATCTTTACTAAATGTAGTCATGCATTAAACTTCCTGTAAGTGCTAAACCGGAGTGGGCCAAGTAGGAAACAGTTAATACTGATGTAGTAAAGAAAGGCTAGGATCTTGGGATATCACCGTGGATACAGAAATACACCCTCCTTTCAACTGTGGGCACAGCAGTGAAAAGACAGCTTGAATTCTATCTACCAGATGAGACACGGTGCTAATGATTTCGCAGTGGATATTAATGCAGTATGAGTGAGTTCAATAGTAAAACAGAAATGAAGAAAGATAAACTTACTTAAATTTGTAGCTCTCTCGCTTATTATTCACAAACCCATCTGCCAAATCACGAGGTAAGATAATTTCCAAGCTAGGTGTTAATTTTTCATCTTCATCTATGGAATAAATCTGCAAATATGAAGACAGTGAATATAAAATGGTAAATTTCAGGCTTGGACTATGACCATGTTATTATGATGTGCATGGCAATTTTATTAAAAAAATTATACTTTTAAGATAAAAAGTCAAAACATAGTATAAGTTGGATAATTTTCCTCTTTGAACTGTGTGCAGACTCAGACAAATATATGAAACTGAACAAGAGGTAAAAACCCAAATCAATGCTCCATCAAAGCTCAGCTCCTCTGACTAACCTAATCTTCAAATCTGAACATTTGAGTATCTCTGTTGTTGAGAAACTAATAACCCCGAAAACAACATATTATCTAAATATTGCTGTGGAATGATGTACCAGAAATTAACTTTTTACTACAAGCAACAAGCATTGCTGAGCATTTACAACATCCTAGACAAGAAGGTAAAAGGACAAGGTCTGAGACTTCCCAGAGAGCTCAGAAGAGCGCTCTAATTCAAGTTATGTTTAAAGAAGCCCAAGTTTTCATGAGACGTATCCAGGCATTTGAAAAAGGCATGTGGTTTCAAAAGACACACATATTTCATGTCTTTGATGTCCTTTTCAAGGTTCTACCCCCAGCTCAGCCGCTAATTAGCTAACGACCTGGAAAAAAATCACTTCACCTCACTAAGCTGATGCTGAAATGAAGGGTCTTAATCAACCCCCTTACAACTGTGGTATGCTCTGTCTTCTTGGTTGCCTGCTCCTCTACTTATTGGCCAGGAAAATCAAGAGTCAAGCCTATAAAGAGGTCACGTGGAATAAAGAAAAGCGTAAGATATTGTGTCCAAAAACCTGGGTCCAATGCTGACCTCAATTTACCAGATGTGTGACCAGCTGCCGCATTCAGAACCTCCGTTCCTTATGGCCTCCCTTACGAGATTGCTGTGGGGATCACATGACGTCATGGAAATGGGAGCATTTTGCAACGCACCATAAAAAATGTTAGTCATTAGAGTCACAGGTTTTTAAGAAAGACTTCTTGTCTTTAACCAGGAAATAAAATTCTTTCTAACAGCAATACTTCCTGTTTAAGACCCATTAGATGCTTGATTATGGGGGAAGGTCAGATTCCTAAACAAGCAAAAGCCTACCTAAATCTCCAGAAAATCTAACTGATTTTCCTAAGCAGACTTTCATTGAACACTCGCACTTAAAATGTGAAGAATCTGTGTAAAGTGAAATTATCTGTAGAAAGTGATGGCATCAGGTCCAAGCCTTTCTGGCCAGGTTTTCTCAAGAGACATTTAAAAATTATATCCTGTAGGGAATTACATTTAAAAAAAAAAAGATTAATGCCCAGACTGGTGAGAAAAAGGGGTAAGACATGAAACATACAGGAGGGAGGGTTGCCACACATTAAAAACAACAACAACAAAACAGCAACAGTAAAAAATCCTGTAACACTCTGCTCAGAAGATAAAAAAGACCATCAACTAGAGTGGGAACAGTGACATCCACCACGACCATTAAGCCAGTCTTTGAGGCATTAAGAAGAGCCCCTTATAACCAGAAAGCTTGTTTAGTCTAATAAATTGACTTTTACCCTAGTCACAAAAGTATGTGAGATAGAGGAGGTTTTTAGGACTAGAAGAAAATTAGGTCTAATGAAAAGATTCTGAAATATACAAAGCACTACCCAAATGAAAAGCACTGCCATTATCAGAGGTTCCTCTTATGTATTTTCTGATTTATTAATCTATAAATTACTATAATTTCATTGACAGTGCCTTAGTAAATACAACTAATGAAGTAGTGGAGCCATAAAATGAAGAGGGGAACCCCACTTTGAATCACTCTTGGTTTAAAGCTACATACAGCATTTCCAGTTTGAGAAACAACCATACAATCTTTTGGGGGCAAAAAGTTAGGATGCTAAAAATAAAATTTCTAAGGGAGAGCAGGGATACACTAATTCAAAATTTGTTCATCTGTGCTCTCTTATTTTTGCCTATGTGGCAAAATGTTGTATCTCGGTAAGAAATCTGACATTATTAAAATACAGTATGACACCTAAAAACACTTCCTGCAGTAACAATCTACTCCACAGAATCCCACCAAAGAAATGCAAAAAAAAAGAAGGCACATTAAAATATCCAAACACTGCATTTTAAGAAAAGAGAAAGTTCAATATTAAATCCAAGATTCTCTACCAATCCACCCCCAGCCCTGCCTCCATCCTCGCACATTACTGTATCCAAACACCTGCTTCTGAGGCCAAGTCCATGTAGATAAGTTCAACATTTTTACTAAGAGTCT